CTTCACCAGGCACAGGGCTCAGTGGCTAAACCTCTGTTTGCAAGTGCCTGTATACCACGTGGGCGCTGGTTCAAGTCCCGGCTGCCCCACTTCCCATCCAGCTCCCTGCCTGTGGCCTGGGAAAGCAGTGGAGGACGGCCCAAAGCCTTGGGACCCTGCTCCCGTGTGGGAGACCCAGAAGAGGCTCCTGGCTCCTGGCTTCGGATCAGCTCAGCTCTGTCTGTTGTGGCTACTTGGGGGGCACGTGGGTGGATGGGAGGAAGGCTGGGGCGATTGCTGGGCGCCCAGCCCTAGATACCCAAGGCTGATTCCACTGTGGTTTACGCGGATTCTGCTGCCTGGGACTCTTCTCCCCTCGGTCTGTCTCTTGGCCTCTTCCCTCACCAGTCGGCCCCTAACACACACACACACACACACACTTTCTCTCGCTGCCCTCCTGGACTGCCCACCTCCCACACGGTGCCTGGACCAGGTGCCCACCCACTCAGGCCTCCCCAGTGACCAAGGAGGTCCCTGCTGCTGCCGCTTGCCCTAGGAGCAGCCCTTCCACAGGGATGGGGGAGGAACCGTCCACAGTTGGCGTGTGCCAGCCACGGGGCTTCGCCCTCAGACAGTTTGGTCCACAAAATACTTCAAAAACCAGGGCTCTGGGAAGCGGGTTAGGAATCCCTGCTCTGGGGCCGTGCTGTGCTCGGCAGGTCCCTGCGTCCTATAGGGGCAGCAATTCTAGTCTCAGCTGCTCCACTTCCCATCCAACGCCCTGCTAGTGCGCCCAGCAAAGCAGCATGGCCCCTGCAGCCACGTGGGAGACTTCAGTGAGGCTCCTGGCTCCTGGCACAGCCCTGGTTGATGTGGCTGTTTAGGGATGGAAGTTCTAAACTGTGTCTCTCCCTCTTGCCTTTTCAAATAAAGAATAAATCAAAGATGATGCATTTTTCCTGACACTTTTTGTTATTGCTTGAGAATGAGCCATCTCCCATTTGTGACTCACGACAGATGGCCACAGCAGTTAGGGCTGGGCTCGGCGGAAGCCAGGAGTCCGGAGCTCCACCAGGGTCCCCCACGGGGGCAGCCTCTGCTGCCTGCCTGGACACGTGAGCAGGACCAACGGCACCCCACAGCACAGTACTGCCTCAGGCAAGTCCTCCTTACATGCCCGAGCGCCCTACTTTTCAAAACTCGGTGCTGTCACCTCCCCACCTAGAAGGTGGGGGGAGAGTCTGCCAGGGTCCGAGCAATCGCTCTGTCCCTACGACACCCAGAGCCCCCGATGCCTGGTGCAGTGGCCAGGCAGCTGAAGTCCTCACCTTGCACACACTGGCATCCCCATGGGTGCCACTTCATGTCCCGGCAGCCCTGCTTCCCTGCCTGTGGCCTGGGAAAGCAGTGGAGGACGGCCCAAAGCCTTGGGACCCTGCACCCACATGGGAGACCTGGAAGAAGCTCCTGGCTCCTGGATGTGGATCAGCTCAGCTCTGGCCATTGCGGTCACTTGGGGAATGAATCACCAGACAGAAGATCTTCCTCTCTGTATGTCTTTCCAATAAAAATAAATAAATCTCTAAAAAAAAAAAAAATCCAGAGCGCTGAGGGGGGAATGTGTCCTGGATGGGCTGTGGTGCCCAGGCCGGGCAGCAGGGGGCAGCCGTGGACCGCGAAGCCGACCGTCCCTTCTCGGCCTTGGGCAGGTGGTGTTGCCCGGACCCCTTAACAACCTCTCCTGGGAAACATCTCAAAGACTGTAGCACCGCTGGCTTTTTATCGCTTGTCTTAGGCGCCACCAGGACAACAACTTTTGATACTAGGTTCCTCCGAGCTAACGTTGTGTTCACTTTGGCCTCCTGAGGCCGTGTTAAGCCCCTGGCCACTCTCCTGCGAGCCTTTCCCCCTGGGCTTTGTGCGTGAGGCTGGCACAGTGACATGGGCGTCCCAGCTCAAGAGCACCTGTTCGAGTCCCTGCTGCTGCCCCATTTCTGACGGAAATGGCAGGAGTGTGGCCCCCTGCCTCCCACGTGGGACACGCAGACGCAGTTCCAGGCTCCTGCTTGGGCCAGGTCCAGCCCTGGCTGCTGTGGACATGAGGGAAGTGGACTGATAGCTCCAAGTCTTTCTGTGTGTGAATGTCCGATATCCCTGGACACCCTCGGGGCTGGGACGCTGTGGACAGCACCAGTTCACAGAGCCTGCCTCTGACACACAGCCAGGTTCAGAGGGCAGCTAACTTTTCCGGAATGTGCTGGTGGGTTTTCTGGGGACAACAGCTCCACACGCCTGCCCTGGCAGCCTAGCTTGGAATCCTTGATCCCCAGAGAGTGCCCCTCTTGTGGTTCCCTTTGGCGCCTGGGTGGGGAGAACGCGGGGTTGGCAGGCCCCTCCTCCACGGGCTCCCCACCGCCGTGGGCTCAGGGGATTGTCCCTGGACAACCTGCCTCCTGGGGCTGCCATCCCAGCCTGCCCAGGACTGTCTCTACTTTGACATGGAAAGTCCCTCATGAGGGCAGCGGGGACCTGGGCAAACCCAGCCTGTTGGTCACGCGATGGGCCGGGAATTTGGAAGTTCTGGAAGGGACACGTGCAAGCTTCCGGAGTGAGTAGGGAGGGGTGGGGATGTTATGTGGGGGTCCTGGCTGTGGCCTTCACAAAGAGGCTCGGCTGCCACTTTAAAGAACCTGAGGCACTGAACCACGAAGGTCTGGCATTGGTGTAACTTGATAATTTGTTTCTTTTTTTGAAAGTCAGAGTTGCTCAAACAGAGGCTCACTCCCCAAGTGGCTCCAACTGCCAGAACTCAGCCAATCTGAAGCCAGGAGCTTTATCAAGTCTCCCACACGGGTGCAGGGTCCCAAGGCTGTGGGCCGTCCTCGGCTGCTTTCCCAGGCCACAGGCAGGGAGCTGGGTGAGAAGTGGGGCAGCTGGGACTCAAACTGGCACCCATGTAGGATGCCAGAGCCACAAGGTGGAGGATTAGTTTGCTGTGCCACCAATCTGGCCCCACTAAATAAACATTTTTTAAAAAGAAAGACTCCACTGTGGAGTGTGAAAGGCAATATAACTAGACTTAGAATTCTGTCTACCACGGGCCTTGTCCAATGACTCAATCGACTAATCCTCCCCTGCAGGCGCCAGGATCCCATATGGACGCCAGTTCGAGTCCCGGCAGCCCCAATTTCCACCCAGCTCCCTGCCTGTGGCCTGGGGAAGCAGTGGAGGACGGCCCAAAGCCTGGGGACCCTGCACCCGCGTGGGAGACCTGGAAGAAGCTCCTGGCTCCTGGCTGTGGATCGCCTCAGCTTCCGCCATTGTAGCAGACAGAAGATCTTCCTCTATAAATCTGCCTTTCCAATAAAAAAAAATTAAATAATCTATTTACCTATTGAATCTGTTAAAAGCTAACTAAACAAAACTAGAAATTAAAAAAATAAAAAAAGACACCAAGTGATTCATTCAGAAATGGAGCAGGGGAAAGCCCGGGAAGGCCGGGCGCCTGACCCTCGGCCCCGTTGGCAGGCTGGGGAAATGGCCTCATTGTTCTGCGTGATGAGTATTATCGAGATTATTACCATCACTGTTGTGATTGCTGGCCACCCTGCACTTCCCGTGGGTGCTCACACCCCGCCCCTCCCGCCGGAAGTGGCTGCTGTAGAATCTGGCCTCTGGACTTTCCTGTTTCTGCCCTCCGCAGAGGCCGCAGGAAGCCCAGCCGTGCGACCCTGCCCGCCCGTTCCGCTCCCGGCTGCCAGGCCAGCCCCAACGCCCCTGCTTTCTGTTCCCTTCAGTTATTAGTACTTTTTAAATTTGTATTGCAAAGTCAGATTTTAAAGAGAGAAGGAGAGACAGAGAGAAAGATCTTCTATCCGCCAGTTCTCTCCCCAAGTAGCCACAACAGAGAGAGCTGAGCTGATCCAAAGCCAGGAGCCAGGAGCTTCCTCCAGGTCTCCCATGCGGTCCCAAGGCTTTGGGCCGTCCTCCACTGCTTTCCCAGGCCACAGGCAGGGAGCTGGAAGGGAAGTGGGGCTGCTGGGACACGAACTAGTGCCCATATGGGATCCCGGCACATGCAAGGCAAGGACTTTAGCCACTAGGCTACCATCCCTGGCCCGTGGTTTTTTTTTTTGTTTGTTTGTTTGTTTTGTTTCCGATTGATTTTTATTGGAGACGCAGATTTCCAGAGGACAGACAGAGCAATCTCCCATCCTCTGGTTCACTGGCCACCACGGGCAGACCCGAGCCGACCCAAAGCCAGGTGCTTCAAAGCAGGGTCAACAGCCAACACAGCTAAATCAAACAGCTCGGGATCCACTGCTAGCAAAGCGCAGGGTGAGGGACAGTGGGTGGGCCTGCAGGGGACAGTGGAGGCCAGCTCTGTGGCACAGCAGGGGACAGCGGAGGCCAGCACTGTGGCACAGCGGGGAGGCTGTCGCCTGCTTTGCCAGCTTCCACAGGGCGCTGGTTCGGGTCCCAGCCGCTCCACTTCCGTGCACCTGAGAGGGCAGCTGAGCCTGGAGGCAGAGAGGGCCAAGGCGCAGGTCCTGATGGCGGGATGTCCACCCAGGGGGTCCTCCCTCCAGGGTGCCAGGGCTGCTGGCGGCGGGATGGGGTGCAGGGAGCGGGCGGGGACGCCCGGGGTGAAGGGCCAGGCACCGCAGGCCGAGCCACACGGGCAGGGCTGCTGGCGGGCTGAGCGGCGCCCGGAGCAACCTGCACCCTGGACTGGACCGCCTGAGCAGGCCACAAAGCACCGTCTTCCGCCCGCTGCCGCCACTGCCTTCGGCGTTCCGCCCACCTCTCGCTCCAGCCAATGGGAGACGCCATAGCCCGCCCATGTGGCTGAACCACCCAATCGAAACGGAGGGTCGAGCGAGCGCCTAGAACCGAGCACCAATCGAAGCGCCGCGGCCGCTGGCGAGAGGCACAGAGCGGAAGCGAAAACTGACCAGTAGGCGTGCACGTTTCAGGTAGCCAATAAGCGGCGGCGTCTCGGCCGCGAGCTGACAGCTGCTTCCCTGTGGAGGCCGACCAGAGTCCCGGGTTCGAGCCGGAGCCCCGGGAGAAAGGAGGTGAGCCTTTAGGGGCGTGAGGGGGGCGCTCCCGGGGCGGCGATCAGGAAGGAAGGCACGCGGACGGACTGAGCTCGGCTGCGCGGGGCACCGGACGTGTGCTGTGTCGGGGCTGTGGCAGTTCCTGCTTCTGAGGGCTGGGTTGGAGAGACCTGAGGGCAGCGGGGTGGCCTTTGGGCGATAATTCCTTCCCACCCGCCGCGACCTTGGAGACGCCGGAGAAACCCAGTGTTTCCAAGTGCTTGATGGACTGTTTCTCTCCAAACTGAGCCAGTTCCCGTCTGCTGGTTCAAGCCCCACGGCCCCCAGCTCCTCCAGGTTCCTGCGGGGCCGGCTGCAGCCGTGCTGGGAGCTCCCTCTGGGTCTGCTGGTTCAAGCCCCACGGCCCCCAGCTCCTCCAGGTTCCTGCGGGGCTGGCTGCAGCCGTGCTGGGAGCTCCCTCTGGGTCTGCTGGTTCAAGCCCCACGGCCCCCAGCTCCTCCAGGTTCCTGCGGGGCTGGCTGCAGCCGTGCTGGGAACTTCCTCTGGGTCTGCCACTTGGGTAGGTGGAGGGACCCAGCTGCTTCAGCCACCTGCTGCCTTTCGGGGTGTGTGAGAGCAGGGAGCTGGTTGGGAAGCGGGGCAGCCAGGATACAAACTGGTACTCCTCTGGGATTCTTGCGCTTGAAGATGAGGATTAACCAGTTGAGTCACCGTGTCAAGCCCTCAAATAGATAAATCTTTAAACAAATGACTGAATGAGGCGACAGCAGCTGTGTGGCGGGGGATCGGTGGACACCCGGGGCTAATGGTCACTCCTTCCCCAGCCGCCTGCCGGTAGCATGCCTTTGTGGCAGCGAAGGGCCACCCCCAGGAGTGGCCAGCTGGACCTGGCGGAAGCTGGGCCCATGGCTGCCGGAGGGGGCGTGAAGGTGCTGCTGCACTGGACGGGGCCCAGCGGCGGGGAGCCGTGGGTCACCTTCAGCGAGGCGGCGCTGACAGCCGAGGAGGCTTGCATCCACATCGCACACAGGATCGGTGAGTGCGGGGCACTGGCCGTGTGGTGGCGGCAAGGGGTGGGCGTGGGCAGAGGCAGGCCGTCGCTTGTCTGTCCCTCTTCTGGTTTCCTCGGCCGAGTGGGCGCCTGCTGTGTGCCAGCCCACAGCAGTCTGCCACTGTTGGTCAGAGTCCATCAGGACACTGCAGGAAGTCAGGGCTGTTGGGGAGAAGTTTATAGTGGGGTGGGGGGAGATGTGAAGGAGACAGGTTGCTGTGACAACAGGCTGCTGTGGACTTTTATTGAGAAGACAGAGTTATAGAGAGGAGGAGAGACAGAGAGAAAGATCTTCCACCTGCTGGTTCACTCCCCGTGGCTGCCACAGTGTGGGCTGAAACCAGGAGCCAGGCGTCTCCTCTGGTCTCCCACGTGGGTACAGCAGCCCACGCCGTTGGGGCCGTCCTCCACTGCTTTTTCAGGCTGTAAACAGGGAGCTGCGTGGGAAGTGGAGCAGCTCGGACCTGAGCCGGGGCCCATATGGGCTGGTGGTAGGGCAGGTGGATTAGCCTGGTGAACTACCACGCGCCCGGCTACCTGTCTGCCTTCCGAGTCAATAGAAACAGCTAAAGCAGAGGTATGGAGGCCCCCACAGCGCCCGACCCTCATGACCCCATGGAACCCGGCACCTCCACACACACTCCAGAGCAGCATCTGGGGCTGAACCCTGGGGATGTGGGCGGTGCTCGGGCTGTGATCTCAGCTCATTGGCTGCTCTGATTGGCTGGGAAGGCCGCCCCCTTGCCCCCTTCCAGCTGCAGGTGCATCCACACCCCCCCCCCAAGAGGCTGCAGGGCTAGAGAGGAACTGTCCCCCAGGAGTGAGGCTGCTGTGGGATCACAGGGCCTGATTAGCCTCCCGCCAGCTCCGCCTGGCTCTGACAGGCCATCACCTGCGTGACCGGAAGGAGGAAGAGGCGCAAAGAGCTTGACGTGTTGAGGGAGACTTGGCCGGGTGACCCGGCTGTTGATTCTGAGAAATTGAAAGGGGAAGTAGTATAGAGGGAGGCAGTAGGGAGCTGCTGCGGGCGTAAGCCACAATGAGACTGTCCTGCCCTCCAATCAGACGTGCTGGCCTTGGGGACCTGCCTGAGAGGGGCAGTTAGAGGAAGAGCCATCTTCTATCCACTGCTTCGCTCCCCAGGTGGCCACAAAACTCAGCCAGCCCAAAGCCAGGAGCTTCTTCTGGGTCTTCCACAGGAGGGCAGGGTCCCAAGCACTTGAGCCGCCCTCAGTTGCTTTCCCAGGCACATCAGCAGGGATGTTGGATCGGATGTGGAATAGCTGGGACGTGAACCGGCGCCCATACGGGGTGCCGGCATTGCAGGTGGTAGCTCTACCCGCTGTGCCACGATTCAGGCTCCCTGCAGCTGTTTCTTGGCTGCCGCATACCGGCCCGGATCCTAGCAGCGTGTAGGGCTGTTATCCTAGGGTGGGTGTTGCTGCTGTCCTACAGGGACCTCGCTGACTTGCTGGGTTAAGAGAATGTAGATTTGTCGACATTTGGATGTGGGTCAGGAGTTTCCCCATCAGTGTCCGATCCGATGGCTGTGTCCTACCTGCAAGGGATGCTGGGAGTGGTAGTCCTCCTGGGAGGCCACAGTTTGGTCAACCTTTGCTTGGAGCCTGAAGCTGTGATGAGGGGGCATGCGTGATGGGGCACGGGGGGCTCCGGGGACCCTGACTTGCTGTTCGTCTGTTCCAGGCATCACGCCACCTTGCTTTCATCTCTTTGCGCTCTTCGACGCCCAGGCCCAAGTGTGGCTGCCTCCAAACCACGTCCTGGAGGTGTCCGGGGACGCGGGCCTCACGCTGTATTTCCGCATGAGGTGGGTGAGGCCGCGTGCACACACACACCCCTCCTGAAGCCTTGTCCCTTGGCAGCTCGGCCAAGCCTAGCTCAGTCCCAGCTGTTTCCTGTAGGACTGTGCTGTGTGTTTGCTTTGCTTTTGGTTTTTAAGATTTATTATTTACTTTTATTGGAAAGGCAGATTTACAGATTGGAAAGGCGAGACAGAAAAAAAAAATCTTCCATCCACTGGTTCACTCCCCAAGTGGCTGCAATAGCCAGAGCTGAGCCGATCCACAGCCAGGAGCCAGGAGCCTCTTCCGGGTCTCCCACGCGGGTGCAGGGTCCCCAGGCTTTGGGTCGCCCTTGCCAAAGGCAGGAAGGCCGACAGAGGGCAATCAGGAACTGCCATTCTCTGGTTCACTGTCTGGATATTTGCCGCATCCGGAGCTGGGCCAGGCTGAAACCCAGAGAGCAGTCCAGCCCGGGTCTCCTGCCCGGGTGGTGGCAGGCACCCAGGCACAGGAGCCTGCCACGGTCCTCCCTGCTGCCCACCAGCATGTGTCAGCTGGCAGCCAGTCACGCGCACAGCCTGAAGCTGACCCCGAGGTGCTGCGATGCGGGGACTCAGGCTCCCTTCTCTCCCTGCTCCTGCAGGTTCTACTTCCGGAACTGGCACGGCATGAATGCCCAGGAGCCGGCCGTGTACCGCTGCGGGCCACCCGGGACCGAGGGCACGTCGGAACGGGCAGTGCAGGGGTTCCAGCTCCTGGATTCTGCCTCGTTTGAGTACCTTTTCGAGCAGGTTTGAGCAGACTGACGACTGTCTCGGGGGTGTGGGTGGACTGCCGAGCTCCCACCTCCCTCCCCGGGACAGGCTGGCCGATGGGGGAACCACAAGCGTTAGGCCGGACCGAGAATGCTGGCAATGTCTGCCACAGGCAAGGGCAGGGGTAGAGAGGGCGTGGGGGTGTGTGCTGTGTGTCTAGCTGGTCCCAAACATGGTGGTGGCCCCTTCCCCTCAGCGCTTAGACCAGGGGACCCCTGCCCGGCTGCCCTCCACCTTCCCCCATCCTGCTCCCTGCCACCAGGGCAAGCATGAGTTTGTGAATGACGTAGCCTCGCTGTGGGAGCTGTCGAGCGAGGAAGAGATCCACCACTTCAAGAATGAGAGCCTGGGCATGGCCTTCCTGCATCTGTGCCACCTGGCGCTGGGCTGGGGCGTCCCGTTGGAGGAGGTGGCTGGGAAGATCAGGTGCCTGGGCCGGGGTGCCCCTCGGGGAGGTGGCAGGTGCCAGGGCCGGGGTGCCCTCGGGGAGGTGGCAGGTGCCAGGGCCGGGGTGCCCTCGGGGAGTGCTCGGGGAGGTGGCAGGTGCCAGGGCCGGGGTGCCCTCGGGGAGGTGGCAGGTGCCAGGGCCGGGGTGCCCTCGGGGAAGTGGCAGGTGGCTGGGCCGGGGTGCCCCTCGGGGAGGTGGCAGGTGGCTGGGCCGGGGTGCCCCTCGGGGAGGTGGCAGGTGCCAGGGCCGGGGTGCCCCTCGGGGAGGTGGCAGGTGCCTGGGCCGGGGTGCCCCTCGGGGAGGTGGCAGGTGCCTGGGCCGGGGTGCCCTCAGGGAGGTGGCAGGTGCCTGGGCCGGGGTGCCCTCAGGGAGGTGGCAGGTGCCAGGGCCGGGGTGCCCCTCGGGGAGGTGGCAGGTGCCAGGGCCGGGGTGCCCCTCAGGGAGGTGGCAGGTGCCTGGGCCGGGGTGCCCTCAGGGAGGTGGCAGGTGCCTGGGCTGGTGGGGGTTCCAAGCGCAGACACACATACCCGGGGTCCATGGCCTCCGCTCTGCACTTCTGACCGGCCACTCCGTGTCCATCCCTCCTTCCACCCTGCTCCGGCCACAGCTTCAAGCACTGCATTCCGCGCTCCTTCCGGCAGCACATCCGCCAGAACAACGCTCTCACCCGCCTGCGCCTGCGCCGCGTCTTCCGCAGATTCCTGCGGGCCTTCCAGCCGGGCCACCTGTCACCGCAGGCGGTCATGACCAAGTACCTGGCCACGTTGGAGCGCCTGGCTCCCCGCTTTGGCTCGGAGCACGTGCCCGTCTGCTACCTTCGCCTGCTGGCCCAGGCCGAGGCCGAGGCCTGCTACATTCACGACCACAGGCAGAGCCCTGCGAACCCCTGCAACCCTGCGACCCCCGAGCCCCCCACGCATGAGGTGCTGGTGACGGGCACGGGTGGCATCCAGTGGCGCTCAATCCCGGAGAAAGTGAGAGCCAGGGCGCCTTCCCTCCATGCTGGGGCCCTCCAGGTGGGAGGGCATTGCCTGCTCCACGCTCGGCGCCTCTTCCTGAATTGGCAGGATCCCAGCGGGGGCAGCGATGGCGGAGAGGGGCATCCCCGGGCCAGAGCCAGCCTGTCCGGGAAGGAAGGCAGGGCCCCCAAGGACGCACCCTCGGAGCAGCCCACGTGGACCCACTTCTGCGACTTCCAGGACATCACGCACCTGGTGCTGGGCGAACGCCACGTCAGCATCCACTTGCAGGATAACCAGTGCCTGGTGGGGCCCTGGCGCGGGCGGGCTGGGAGGCTGCAGGGCCGCTGCGTCCTGGGGCCAGGTCTGACGGCTGTGCCCGGCCCCTGCCGCCCAGGAGCTGCGCCTGCCCTCCCGGGCCGCGGCCCTGTCCTTCGCGGCGCTGGTGGACGGCTATTTCCGGCTCACCACCGACTCCAGCCACTACCTGTGCCATGAGGTGGCACCCCCGCGCGTGGTGATGAGCATTCAGGATGGCATCCACGGACCCCTGCTGTGAGCGGCCCTGGGTGCGGGGGAGGGAGGGGTCGCTGCAGCCGCCGGGCTGGGTCGGGGATGCGGGCGTGGACGGGTCTGCGTCATTGTGTGTGAGCCCGTGTGTTCGCCTGCGTGTTCTCTTAAGTGCTTGTGTACATTTTTTGTAAGATTTATTTTTAATTTTTATTGCAAAGTCAGACATACAGAGAGGAGGAGAGACAGAGAGGAAGATCTTCCATCCAATGCTTCTCTCCCCAAACAGCTGCAACAGCCAGAGCTGAGCCGATCCGAAGCTAGGAGCCAGGAGCTTCCGCTGGGTCTCCCACGCAGTGCAGGGTCCCAAGGCTTTGGGCCGTCCTCCACTGGCTTCAGATCGGCTCAGCTCCAACTGTTGCGGGCACTTGGGGAGTGAATCATCAGACGGAAATCTTCCTCTCTTTCTCTCCTCGTCTCTGTGTATCTGCCTTTCCAATAAGAAAAAAAAATTTTTTTAAGTTCTATTTACTCTTTTTTTTATGTTAATTTTTTTTTAATTGTTGCTTACATTGTATTATGTAGTACAGTTTTATAGGCGCTGGGGATTCCCCCCACCCCTCCCATACCCCTCCCCCCATGGTGGATTCCTCCACCTTGTTGCATAACCATAGTTCAAGTTCAGTTAGTTCTATTTACTCTTATTTGAGAGGCAGACAAGACAGACGTCTTCCCTCCGCTGGTTCACTCCCCAAGTGGCCGCAACGGCTGGAGCTGTGGCAGTCCAAAGCCGGGAGCCAGGAGCCTCTCCGGGGTCCCTCTCATGGGTGCAGGGGCTCCAGGCACTTGGGTCACCCCCACTGCTTTCCCAGGCCACTAGCAGGAAGTTGAGTCAGGAATGGAGGAGCTGGGACTTGAACCAGCACCTGTATGGCTGGTGCTGCAGACAGGAGTTCACCTGCTGTGTCGCAGTGCCAGGCCCCTGTGTTTGCAAGAGCAGCACAAACAAGCATGCCACAGCCGAGAGCCTAGCCAGGCCTGAACCAAGAGGGCAGAACTCCAGCCGGGTCTTGCTCCTAGGGGAAGCGATTCCCCCCGCTGGGCTGAGCGCCCACCCCGTGCCTCTTGGCATGTCTGATGTCACGCACAGTGAGTGCGATTGTGTGTGTGCCTGCACAATGCCCTACTTTATCCAGGAGCGGCCCCAGGCAGCCTGCTGGTGCCCCCTGTCCCTGCAGGGAGCCGTTTGTGCGGGCTAAGCTGCAACCCGTGGATGGCCTCTACCTCATCCACTGGAGCGCCAGCCACCTCTACCGCCTCATCCTGACCGTGGCCCAGCGTGACCCGGTGGGCAGGGGCGGGGGGTCCTGGGCCGGGGCTGGCTCCCCTGCCTGCCTGGACCCTGCTCACAGCCCCCGCCCCGGTCCCCCAGGCACCTGGTGGCAGCTCACGGAGCTTACGTCTGCGCAAATTCCCCATCGAGCTTCGGGATGGAGCCTTCGTGCTGGAGGGCTGGACTCGCTCCTTCACCAGCATGCGGGAGCTGAGGGCCGCCCTGCACGGCTGCTCGCTGCGAACTGGGGCGGACTGCTTCCCCCTGCGACGCTGCTGCCTGCCGGGGCCTAGAGGTACCCGGGCCCAGGGTCCATCCCTGCGGTGGTGCTGGCGGGGTGGCAGGGCAGGGCTGAGGCACTGGGGCCGTGTGGTCTCACACCTGTCCTCATACCCCTGACCAGAGCTCTCGAACCTCATTGTCATGCGTGGGCCCCACGCCACCTCCAGGCCTCTCAACGTCTGCCAGCTCAGCTTCCACCGGATCCACCAGGATGAGATCTGCCAGGTGGGTGTGCAGGTGCAGGGGGACCGGATGTGGCGGGGGGCGGGTATCTGACCCTTAGGGGCCAGGTCAGCTGCCCGATGGCCAGCCAGCACCAGTGTCCTCTGACCTGCTTTCCACAGCTGTCACACTTGGGCCAGGGCACAAGGACGAACGTGTACGAGGGCCTCCTGCGCGTGGGGTGCCCCGAGGAAAACCAGGTGGACAGCGGGGAGCCGTCAGCCCCAGCCGGGGCCCAGGGCCGGGAGCTACGGGTGGTGCTCAAAGTGCTGGATGCCAGCCACCACGACATTGCCCTGGTGGGTCTGGTGGGCTGGCCTGCAGGGCAGGGGCGGGGCTGGCGGTGCGCAGGGGAGGAGTCAAGCTTGCCACTGCCACCTGACTGACCTGGCCGGCCTGGTCCTCACAGGCCTTCTACGAGACCACCAGCCTCATGAGCCAGGTGTCGCACATCCACCTGGCCTTCATGCATGGCATCTGTGTGCGCGGCTCGGAGAGTGAGTGGGCTCCATGCCACCCTGACTCCTGCAGCCCCTGGCTCCCTTCCCGATAGAACCCTGGGCTACCCCTTAACCTTTAATCTAACCCCGCACCTGTTTATCCTAACCTTGATCCTGCATCCCTGCCCTCCAAACCTGGCTACACCCCAATTCCACATTGGCCAGGGTGGCGGGGTGGGGCCAGCAGCCGCTGAGTGGCTGGCTCCTCGCAGACATCATGGTGACGGAGTTCGTGGAGCACGGGCCCCTGGACGTGTGGCTGCGGCGGGAGCGGGGCCATGTGCCCATGGCCTGGAAGATGGTGGTGGCCCAGCAGCTGGCCAGCGCCCTCAGCTATCTGGTGCGTGTGTGGGCTGTTGCTGGAGCCCTGGTGGGGGGGGGGCAGGATGTGCCCCAGAGTCCCCGACAGATCCTGTGGGGGCTTGCTTACCCTGGACTGGCGCTGCCCTTCTCTGATGCTGTCTCTGAGCACCCCCACATGGCCTAGGCACCCCACCTTCTCGGGCTCTTCATCTCTGCATTCAGTGTCTCTGTAGGGTTTTTTTTTTTTTTTTTAAGATTTATTTTTTAAAATTGTTATTGGAAAGTCAGATATACAGAAAGGAGGAGAGACAGAGAGGAAGATCTTCCGTCCACTGGTTCACTCCCCAAGTGGCCGCCATGGCCTTAGCTGAGCCGATCTGAAGCCAGGAGCCAGGAACCTCTTCCAGGTCTCCCATGTAGGTGCAGGGTCCCAAGGCCATCTTCTACTGCTTTTCCAAGCCACAAACAGGGAGCTGGATTGGAAATGGGGCAGCCACGACTAGAACCACTTTTCATATGGGACCCAGTGCATGCAAGGCAAGGACTTTTAGCCACAAAACTACCACACCAGGCCCAAACTTTTAAAAACTTGTTTATTTCAGAGAGAGAGAATCTGAGAGCTCTCCCATCCCTGGTTCATTCCTCCAAGTGCTGGGACAGCCAGAGCTGGGCCAGGCCGAAGCCAGGAGCCTGGAGCTCAAATCCAGGGCTCTGGTGGGAATAGCTCCTAAGTCCTCAGCGGTCGCCGCCTCCACGGTGCAGGTTTGCAGGAAACTGTAGGTCGGACGCGGAGCTGGCATGCAAAGCCTGGCACTTGCTCGGGCTGTGGGTTAGCCACTGTGCCCAATTACCCCTCCACCCACAACCACCCTGCACTTCTTGGTCCGTCGTGTAGTTGCTGAGGGCCCAGGGTGCAGGGGGCTCGCCCAGCGCCCCTGGGGTGGGCACGTGCTGGGCTGTTCAGGCCTGCGTGTCCTGCAGCCAGTGGCTCTGGGAAGAGTAAGACAGCCCCTGCTGAGGCCCCAGTCGCTGCTTCCTGGTCATAGTGATGGCGGGGCTGTCCCCGTGGGTCGGGGTTAGGTAGAGTCTGTACCCGTCTATAGAAGCCTCACTCCTGCTCCGTATCCCTCCCAACTCACCCCTCAGGAGGACAAGAACTTGACCCATGGAAACGTGTGTGGCCGGAATGTCCTGCTGGCCCGCCCTGGGCTGGCTGAGGGGACCAGTCCCTTTGTCAAGCTCAGTGACCCCGGCGTGGGCCTGGGGGTCCTCTCCAGAGAGGGTGAGTGCCCTGGCAGTGTGGCTGGACACAGGGAGAGGCTTGCCCTGCCTTTCCTGTCCCCCATTGCGTCCTTGGTGACCTCTGACCCTTGCCCCCAGAGCGGGTGGACCGCATTCCCTGGACGGCCCCCGAGTGCCTGCCCGCCGGGGCCGGCAGCCTGAGCCCTGCCGCTGACAAGTGGGGTTTCGGGGCCACGCTCCTGGAGATCTGCTTCGACGGGGAAGCCCCCCTGCAGGGCCGCAGCCCCTCCGAGGTCAGTGGGGCTCACCACAGGAGGGGGCTTGAGCAGGCCTGGGCCCGGGAGAGGCAGCCAGGAGCCTGTGTGAAGGGCGCAGGCTCCAGGTGCTCAGGGTGCTGTGGCCTGGGAATGTGGCGGGAACTCGACTGTGGGGTGAGCAGGGTCTCCCCGTGCCCAGCCTCAGGTGTCTCGTCTATAAAATGGAAACGACCAGAGCAGGCACCTGCTTGGTCTGCCTCGCTGCTGTGTGTGTCCTGTGTGTATCTGTCCCCTGTGCGTAGGGGGGTGATCTGCCTGGGTGTGCATGTCCAGCAGCGGGGTGCTCACCCCCACTGGCCCCTTTCCCTGCAGAAAGAACGGTTCTACCAGCAGCACCACAGGCTGCCGGTGCCCTCATGCCCCGAGCTGGCCGCCCTCACGGGCCGCTGCCTGGCCTACGAGCCTGCCCAGCGACCGTCCTTCCGTACCATCCTACGGGACCTCACGCGGCTGCAGCCCGGGGGTGAGTGACCGCCGGGGCTGGGCACAGGCGTGGGAGGGGACAGAGCCAGCTTTGGCCTCACCTCCCGGTACCCCTCCAGATCTGGTGGATGGCTTGGCCATGAACCCAGACTCGCCCGCGTGTGACCCCACGGTTTTCCACAAGCGCTACCTGAAGAAGATCAGGGACCTGGGTGAGGTGAGGGCGGTGAGCCTGCAGGGAGAGCCGCCAGCTGCTGGTGGGGACCTGGGGGTCCGGAGGCGAGCCTGCAGGGAGAGCCGCCAGCTGCTGGTGGGGACCTGGGGGTCCACAGGCCTGCAGGGAGAGCCGCCAGCTGCTGGTGGGGACCTGGGGGTCCGGAGGCGAGCCTGCAGGGAGAGCCGCCAGCTGCTGGTGGGGACCTGGGGGTCCGGAGGCGAGCCTGCAGGGAGAGGCCGCCAGCTGCTGGTGGGGACCTGGGTGAGGTGAGGGCGGTGAGCCTGCAGGGAGAGGCCGCCAGCTGCTGGTGGGGACCTGGGGGTCCGGAGTGAGTCTCGGCTGGGGGCGTTGGAAGGAGCCCAGGCCCCTGAGATGCAGCAGAGATGGCGTCTGCCCTGCACAGCCCTGGGACCCCAGTTCACCTTGGCTGCCTGTAGGGCTGTAGATCTAAGGTGGCAGGTGCAGGGGCGCCGCAGGGTGCGGCTGACTGTCCTGCACGCTGCCAGGGCCACTTCGGCAAGGTCAGCTTGTACTGCTACGACCCCACCAACGACGGCACGGGCGAGATGGTGGCGGTGAAGGCCCTCAAGGCCGGCTGCGGGCCCCAGCTGCGCTCGGGCTGGAGGCGCGAGATCCACATCCTGCGCTCGCTCTACCATGAGCACATTGTCAAGTACAAGGGCAGCTGCGAGGACCCAGGTGGGCGGGGCTGGGGCGGGGCGGGGCCGCGGGTGGGCGGGGCTCAGGCCCGGGGCGGGGCCGCGGGTGGGCGGGGCTCAGGCCCGGGGCGGGGCCGCTGGTGGGCGGGGCTCCCTGGTCCAGCCCTGGTCCAGCCGCAGCAAGGCTCCTGTGTCCACTTAGGTGACAAGTCGGTGCAGCTTGTGATGGAGTACGTGCCCCTGGGCAGCCTGCGGGACTACCTGCCCCGGCACAGCGTCGGCCTGGCCCAGCTGCTGCTCTTCGCCCGGCAGATCTGTGAGGTGTGCCCGCGGGGCCTGTGCCTGCCCAGCCTGTCCCCTGCCCAGCCTGTCCCCTGCCAGCACCCGCAGGGCCTGTCCCCTGCCCAGCCTGTCCCCTGCCCAGCCTGTCCCCTGCCCAGCCTGTCCCCTGTCCAGCACCCGTGGGACCTATCCCCTGTCCAGCCTGTCCCCTGCCAGCACCCGTGGGACCTGTCCCCTGCCCAGCCTGTCCCCTGTCCAGCACCCGTGGGACCTGTCCCCTGCCCAGCCTGTCCCCTGTCCAGCACCCGTGGGGTCTGTCCCCTGTCCAGTGCCCGCAGGGGCTGTCCCCGGCCAGCTGCCCTCCCGTGGGTCCCCATGCCAGGTGTGCCTGCCTAGCCCTCCTGCCCTTTCCCCTCTGGGTCAGCCATCCGGTCCCCATCCTGACCCCCACGCCGTGCCGTCCCAGGGCATGGCCTACCTACATGGGCAGCATTACATCCACCGAGACCTAGCTGCCCGCAATGTGTTGCTGGACCACGACAGGCTGGTCAAGATTGGGGACTTTGGCCTGGCCAAGGCCGTTCCCGAGGGCCACGAGTACTACCGCGTGCGCGAGGATGGCGACAGCCCCGTGTTCTGGTGAGCAGGCTGGGTCGTGGGGCCGGTGGACACCAGGGCTTGGGTGGCAGGGCTGGGCCCTGTGCAGCTGGGCAGGGCAGGGCAGGGGCGGGGCCTATGGGGTGGGCGGGGCCTAGGGCGCGGGGGCGGGGCGGGGGCGGGGCTCCAGGTCGCTCCCTGCTCTGCAGGCCGGTCAGTCCCAGGGAGGGCTCCTTGTCTCCTGCCCAGGTACGCCCCCGAATGCCTGAAGGAGTCCAAGTTCTACTACGCTTCCGATGTGTGGTCCTTTGGTGTCACTCTGTACGAGCTGCTCACGCACTGTGACTCCAGCCTGAGTCCCCCGAAGGTGAGGACCCGCACAGGTGGGGAGGGCACAGGGCCCTTGACCGGCCGGTGCCCCTCTTGGGCAGGAGGGCGTCCCCTCCTGGAGCGGCCCGTGCCCCCTGAGCTTCAGAGGTGATCAGCGTGACCTGCTGTGTGGCCTGATTCAGACTGCCGCCCGTGGTGGAGGGTGCTGGCGACCCATTACACAGATGAGGAAAGCCGAGGCCCGTTAGAGCACACGGTGCAGCGGCCTCCTGACGGGGCCTGTCTTGGTCTGCACCCTAGAAGTTCGAGGAGCTCCTGGGTCTCACTCAAGGCCAGATGACGGTTTTGAGGCTGACCGAGTTACTGGAACGTGGCGAGAGGCTGCCGCGGCCCGACAAGTGTCCCTGCGAGGTGAGGCCCTCTCCTCCCCCGCTGCGCCCCCTGCCTTTCCACCCCGCTCCCCCAGGGCAGCCGCCTTGCCCTCTGCTCCTCTCCCACCCCCAGGTCTACCTGCTCATGAAGAACTGCTGGGAGACCGAGGCCTCCTTCCGCCCCACCTTCCAGAACCTCTCGCCCCTCCTCAAGACAGCCCATGAAAAGTACCAGGGCCAGTCGGCTTCCGTGTTCAGTGTGTGCTGAGGTGGTGGGCGGCAGGGCGCAGCCGGCCCCACCTTGCTGCAGGGCCCGGCGGAGGACGGGACCCTGAGCTCCTGCCGGCCTTCCCGGTCCCTTCGCCGGGAGCCGTTCTGTGCCGCCAGCACCGGCCGGGACACCGTGCCCCTCCGAGTGTCTCAAGCAATGCGGGCTGGCCGAGGACGGCAGGCAGTGGGAGACACGGCCGGTTTTGCTGCAGACGGCTGGTCCGTCTTGGTGCCTGCGATGCAGGACCACGTGCAGCAGGCCCGCCCTTCAGGCTTCCCAGGCGGCTCTCCTGCTCTGCTCTGTTGCCGAGGAGGGACGGCCACCTCTCAGGCTGCCCTGGGAAACCTTGTGACACGTCATTTCCAAAATGCGTAGCACAAGCACCACACACAAGTATTCAATAAACTTTTTATATTTTTAATTCTGGTGTTACCTCTTTCTTAAAAAAAAAAGTGTGATGTACTTGAAAGGCAGTTACACAGAGAGGAGAGAGACATCTCCCATCTGCTGCTTCGCTCCCTGGATGGGCGCAAGCGCCGGGGCCGGGCCGGGCGGAAGCCGGGAGCCTGGAACTCCGTCCCAGCTCCCCAGCATTTGGGGCACCTGCTGCTGCAGCTGGGCAGGGAGCTGAGTGGGAAGCGGAGCAGCTGGGGCTGAGGCCAACATGCCCACGTGGGACGCACGGCTCAGGTGAGTGACACCTCAGCCTCCTGGGCCACAGGTTGAGTCTGACTGTGAGAGCCAGGACACTGTAGGAATTTGGGAGTAATCCAGCAGGCAGGAGCCCTCTCCACTTCTACCTCTGTGAAAACTAGATGAAAACACGGGTCAGTGCCATGGCTCAATTGACTGATCCTCCACCTGCAGCGCAGGATCCTGTTGGGCACCAGTTCTAATCCCGGCTGCCCCACTTCCCATCCAGCTCCCTGCCTGTGGCCTGGGAAAGCAGTGGAGGACGGCCCAAAGCCTTGGGACCAGCACCCGCGTGGGAGACCCGGAGGAAGCTCCTGGCTCCTGGCTTTGGATCGGCTCAGCTCTGAACATTGCAGCCGCTTGGGGAGTGAACCAGTGGATGGAAGATCTTCCTCTCTGTCTTTCCTCTTCTCTATCTGACTTTGCAATAAAAATGAATGAATGTTAACAAATCCAAACCTGTCCACATTTGGCTTTAGTCCAGGGCAATTTCTTTTTAAGAATTGCTCATTGATTTATTTGAAACAGTAACAGGGAAAGAAATTTTCCATCCAGAGGTTTACTCCCCAAATAGCTGCAACAGCTGGAGCTGGGCTAGTCTGTAGCCAGGAGCCAGGAGCTTGTTTCTCCCATATGGGTGCAGGCGCCCAAGCACTAGCGCCATCCTCCACTGCTTTGCCAGGGGCATCAGCTGGGAGCAGGACCGGAAGTGGAGCAGCCTGGATTTGAACCGGCTTATCTCCCTGCTGCGTGACAGCAGCCCTGGGGCGCTCTCCGATTCCCGGTATTCTCCAGCTTCCTCTCCCCCACTCCTGCCATTTGTCACCCCTACAGGGTCACCACGCTGACGCCATCTTGTGGCAACAGGTGCCACAACAATACTGCCGACTGCCAACCGTCTTGGTCCAGTTTCGCTTTTTAGGGGAGTGTCCGTTGTGGGCGGCTGGGTGCTCTCACGGGAGGCGTATGCCTTCCTGCGGGGCCCTAGAGCAGCCCAGACCCCTGGGGGCAGGGAACACTGCTTTTTCTGAGAAGTTTTCAAGGTAGGCATGGCTTGGAAGCATGGCATAGAAAGTGCCTGACTACCGGGAAGCCGGGCTGCTGTGCTTCTCATGAGTTCCAATCTCAGCTCCACTTTAGATCCAGCTTCCTGCCCACGCACACCCCGGGATGCAGCGGCCAGCGGCCGAGTCCTCAGGTGGCTGCCACCTGCCTGGGAGATCTGGGCTGGAGTTCCAATGCAGGCCTTCCGGCTTCTGCCCAGGCCAGCCCTGGCGGGCACTGGGGGACTGACTCAGCTGCTGGGAAGATCTGTGTGAATTTGTGTCTTCTACCTTTCCAATAAAAGTTCAAGCTCTGAAGCTGCTTTGCAGTCTCTTCTTGAAGCCTCGGGGACGGAACTCCCCTCCCCTGCCGGAAGACCAGGTGTTTCACCTTCCTCCCTGCTCCCAGCACACAAGGGCTTCCCGGTGCTGACAACACAGAGGAAGTGGCTGTTCAAACCTCCCCAGGGCTCACGGTGACACTGAGGCCTGCATGGAGTGCACCCTCCCCCCCCCGCCCCCTCCCACACGGCCAGGCCCCACCCGGGCGCCCCTCTTCCCCATTCTGACCCTTCCTCTCCATCACCTTCCGGGACTGGGGAAGGTGCCACCGTCAGAATTTTGCAAGCCTCACTAGATCTGGCAGCACTGCTGGCTTCCGCCGCAGCCACCACAGCCACAGCCACCGCCGCCAGCAGCGCCTCCCTCTGCCCCGGGGCACACCCTGACCGTGCGTTCCCCATGGCGCCCTCCATGCAGCTGCCTGGCCGGGCCTGCTGGACGCTGCTGCTTCTCTGCTGTCTGTTGCCCCCAGGTGAGGCTGCTTGGGGTCAAGGGGGTGAGGGCTGGGGCAGGGAGTGGCGAGGAGGAAGCGAGAAGTGGTGGCTGCGGGCTCAGAGGATGCCAGCTTCCCCCCTGGCCTCTGCGAAGATGGCCTGGCCTCTGCGAAGCCTTCCGTGAACCGATGGGGCTCCCCGGAGGAGGTGGGCATCCTCAGGATGGCTCCTTGGCCCAGCCTTCGTATTTTTTAGAAAACAGACTTACGTATGTATTTGAAAGGCAGAGAGAGAGAGAGAGATCTTCCATCCACTGGCTCACTCCCCAAATGGCCACAATGGCCAGTGCTGGGCCAGACAGGCCGGGAGCCAGGAGCTCCATCTGGGTCTCCCATGTGGGCAGCCAGGGAACAAGCACCTGCCCCATAGCCACACTTCCCGGCCCTGGCTCGTCCTGGCCCCATCAGGCCCCCTGACCACTGGATACGTGCCTCTTCCGGCCAGCACCACTCTTTTTGACTTCAAATCTGGCCCCTCCTCCAGGAAGCCATCCTGGATTCTCTCCCACAGTTGGACTCATCCCATTTCTCTGTCCCCCATACCCTGGGTTACGGGATGGCAGGGGGCAGGCTTGCTGATGTTGGCTATGGCCTGCCGTGGTCCTGCAGGTACCCTGGGGCAGGGCTTCATGCTGCAGGCGCAGCCCCAAGAGCTGGTGCTGGCCGCCGGTGGGTCCGTCCTGGTCAACTGCACCACCAACTGCCCCAATGCCAGCCACATCACCCTGGAGACGTCCTTCTCCAAGCGGCAGGCTGGCCAGGGCCCCGGCTGGACGGCCTTCTGGCTGGACAAGGTCACCAGCAACAACCTCATCTTCTGTTCCGGGTTCTGCAACGGCTCTCAGATGACCAGCACCTCCAGAGTCACAGTGTACCGTGAGTCCACGCTTGCGCGGGGCTTGGGTGGAAGTGGCTCTGGGGTCCCGGTGGGGGGCAGGAGAGGGGAGGAACAGCTGGGGAGAGGGTGGGCGGGCTGCGTGGCGGGGAGTGGACCAGGGCTGTGACCCAGAACTTGACTGAAGGACAGACAGACAGGAAGAAGTATCCTATGTGTGCTGGGACAGCGGCTATAAAGTTGGCCCATTTAATGTATATTCAACTTTTAAACATAAATGTATCTGGAGGACCGCTACGGAGAGAGAGATGGAGCTTTTCTATCCACTGGTTCCCTCCCCGAATGGCAACAATGAGCAGAGCTGGACCAGGCTTGCAACCAGGAGGCAGCAACTCCATGGGGTCTCCCACAGCCGAGGCCAGGGACATGGGGGGCCCGAGGCCAGGGATGTGGGGGGCCCTGGACCGCCCCCTCCGCTGCCCTCCCAGGTGCACGGGCAGGGCGCTGCACTGCAAGGGGAGCAGCCGGGCCTTGAACCAGCCACTCAGACAGGCGATGGTGGCCAGAGATAAAGACGTGACCTCTGGGCTCTGGCCGCACCGGGCCCTGGCCATTGCGGCCCCTGGGAAGCGACCAACGGGGGAAGACCTCAGGCTCTCTTTCTGCCTCTCTCTCTCTCCATGACCTTTGCAGGTAAAATAAAAAATAATAGATAATGAGAGAGAGAAGGTAGGGATGAGGGTAACTGGATTTGGACTCAGTCCAGCAGTCCTGCTGGGACAGAAGCGTGGTCAGTGTGTGTCACGGGGGGGGGGGGGGGGACCAGCACTGCGGAGCTGGCTGAGGACTGAGGACGCCTGCGTCAGCGAGGGTCGGGCACGTCTACCAGGCTTTGCCCCACGGGACTGGGGCAGGGCCAAGGGCTCTGATGCCCACCCCAGGCCTTTGTCGGGGCCAAGCCCTGGGTCTGCTGCCCGGTACTCCACGCTGCCTAAATAACCTCTCCACTCCCTGCCACCCCAGGGCTCCCACAGCGCGTGGAGCTGGCACCGCTGCCCGCCTGGCAGCCCGTGGGAGAGGACTTCACTCTGAGCTGCCGGGTGCAGGGTGGGGAGCCCCGGGCGCGGCTCTCGGTGGTGCTGCTGCGCGGGCAGGAGGAGCTGAGGCGGCAGCCAGCGCCCCTGGGGGAGCCCGCGGAGGTCATGGCCACCGTGCAGGCGGGCAGAGAGGACCACGGTGCCAACTTCACGTGCGTCACAGAGCTGGACCTGCAGCCGCAGGGCGTGGGGATGTTCAGGAACGCCTCGGAGCCCAGGCAGCTGCGAACTTTCGGTGAGAAAAGCAGCTACACTGGCCTGAGTGAAGCAGGGGCACCTTGCTCTAAACCGCACCCTGGGCCACCGGGTGGGGGTGACCCCAAGATCCCGGGCGTTCCTGGGGAGGGGCCTGGGTGAAGGCAGTCCCTCTGTGCAGACTGGGGTGGGGGGCGGTGCGGCCCCTGGAGCACAGCCGCCCCCTGAGCCCCTTCTCCCCCACCCGCCCCAGTCCTGCCCGAGACTCCCCCGACCCTCCAGGCCAGCCGGCTCTGGGAGGCGGGAACCTCGGTCCCGGTGGTCTGCACCCTGCCTGGGGTGTTCCCGGCCGAGGAGGCCCAGATCCACCTGCAGCTGGGCGACCGCGCGCTGAGTCCTCACGTGACCACGGAAGGGGACGTGCTGTCCGCCCAGGCCACGGGCACGGTGCGCTCGGTTCCGGAGGGCGCCCTGCAGCTGGCCTGCATCGTGACCCTGGGGGGCCAGAGCCGCCAGGCCCGGCTGGAGCTGACGGTGTTCAGTAAGGGGGCGGGGCCGGCGGGGCGGGGGCGGGGCCTGGGCCCACACGGGGCGGGGCCTTGCCAGAGCGGGGCGGCGCCAGGTGACCACTGGGCCCTGTGGTCTGCACGCTCCAGCACGACGCCCGTCCGCAGGCTTCCTGGGGCCGGTCCTGAACCTGAGCGAGTCCAACGCCACCGAGGGCTCCGTGGTGACCGTGACCTGCAGCGCGGGGGCTCGAGTCCACCTCCTGCTGGAAGGGGTTCCTGCCGAGGCCCCGGGGCAGCCCGTGCACCTCGAGCTCAATGCCACTGACCGCGACGACGGGCGTGACTTCTGGTGTCACGCCAGCCTCGAGGTGGACGGGGTCCTCCTGTACCGCAACAGCAGCGTCCGGCTGCGTGTCCTGTGTGCGTCTGGCCAGGCACTCTGCATGCCCTCTGGGGGCAGGGGGGTGTGTGTGCCGGGGCCTGACCACCTGTCCTCCAGACCAGATGCACTCTGCATGCCCTCTGGGGGCAGGGGTGTGTGTGCCGGGGCCTGACCACCTGTGCCCCCTCCAGATGCACTCTGCATGCCCTCTGGGGACAGGGGTGTGTGTGCTGGGGCCTGACCACCTGTGTCCCCTCCAGATGCACTCTGCATGCCCTCTGGGGGCAGGGGCGTGTGTGTTGGGGGTCTGACCACCTGTCCTCCCCACCAGATGGCCCCAGGATTGACCGAGCCACATGTCCGCAGCACCTGGTGTGGAAGGAGAGGACGATGCATGTCCTGCCTTGCCAGGCTCGGGGCAACCCGGTCCCTCAGCTGCAGTGTCTGCAGGAACACTCCAGGCGCCAGGTGCCCGTGGGCACCCCGTTCCTCGTCAGGCTAAACCACAGTGGCACCTATCAGTGCCAGGCGGTCAGCCCGCGGGGCATGCACACGCTGGTCGTGGTGATGGATGTGCAGGGTGAGCCTGGCGCCCCGGGAGGACAAGGGAAGGCTGGGGTGTGCTGCGTCCGGCCAAGCGCCCAGGAGGAGCCACCCACGCTACACGCTTGCACACACACACAGGTCTGAACTCGGCAAACATCATCATCATCATGAGCGTGCTGGTGACCCTCGGCCTGCTCACTATCCTGGCGGCCTCCCTGTGTGTCTTCGGGGTGCAGAAACGGAGCGGCCGCTATGAGGTGCAGCGGCCCTGGCCCCGGCAGCCCTGGTTGCCCCTGCAGCCCCAGGAGCCCCTGCAGCCCCCCGAGCCCCTGCAGCCCCAGGAGCCCCTGCAGCCCCCCGAGCCCCTGCAGCCCCCCGAGCCCCTGCAGCCCCCCGAGCCCCTGCAGCCCGAGGAAGCCTCGGCAGAAGTGCAGGCGCCTTGAGCTGCCAGGACCACCGAGGACTCTGGAGCTAAGTCGGAGGCAGGGCCCTGAGGCCTCCCTGAAGACCCCCCGGGTGCCGTCCCAATAAAACTTCCTAACTCCAGTCGGGAACCCGGCGACTGGTTTTTCCATGTTTTTCTAACTGGGCGCCTTCCTGCAGCTCGGACCCCGCCCTGCGCATGCGCGGGTCCCGAGTGGGAGTGGGCGGGGCAGGAGGCGGGGTCTGTGCGGGCCACCTGACCCTCGGCGAGGCGGAGGGGCGGGGCGGGCCCGCAGCCAATGAGCACAGGGACCGGGCCGGGGGCGGGGCCGCGCTGCGCCAATCGGCCGGCGGGCCCGCGTTGCCGCTCTAGGCCGCTCCGCCTCGGCTCGCTGGTCCCAGAAGGCGCCGGGTTCCCCAAGATGGCGGCCGACGTGTCCGTTACTCACCGGCCCGCGCTGAGCCCGGACGCCCGAGCCGAGGGGGACGGCGGGGAGGCCGCGGAGCGCCGGGCCCCCGAGCGGGAGCTGCCGCCGCTGGAGCCCGACGAGATCCAGAGGCGCCTGGAGCACACCGAGCGCCAGTTCCGCAACCGCCGCAAGATACTGATCCGGGGCCTCCCGGGGGACGTGACCAACCAGGTGACGGGCGGAGGGGGAGACGGCGAGCAGTGCGCCTGCGTGGGGGCGTTGCCGGGGCGACCGCAGGCCGCTTGGGCGAGACCAAGAGGATGCAGGGTGGGGGGCGGCTGACCATGGGGCTTGGGGTGCGGTGAGTGCGGCCGGTCCGGCCTCGGCTGCCCCGCACCCCGCACCGCACACTCCGCACCCCGTTCCCGCACCGCACACTCCGCACCCCGTCCCCGCATCCCAACTCCGCACCCCAACTCCGCACCCCGTCCCCCGCGCCCCACACTCCGCACCCCGTGCCCTGCACCCCGTCCCCTGCACCCCACACTCCGCACCCCGTCCCCGCACCCCACACTCCGCACCCCGTCCCCGCACCCCACACTCCGCACCCCGTGCCCTGCACCCCGTCCCCCGCACCCCACACTCCGCACCCCGTCCCCCGCACCCCACACTCCGCACCCCGTCCCCGCACCCCACACTCCGCACTCCGTCCCCCGCACCCCACACTGCGCACCCCACATCCCGTCCCCGCACCGCACACTCTGCACCCCATCCCCGTCCCTGCACCCCATCCCCGTCCCTGCACCCCGTCCGCGACCCACCCAGCCTGGCCACGTCCTCTGCTAGAGCCCCCGACCCTCGGCTGGTCTTCCTGCCTAGATGCCATTCCCTGGGCGCTCTTTGGACCCGGGAAAACACACACCGTGCCGCCCCGTGGCCCGCGGCGGCCGCGGTCAGCACCTCTGCATGCCTGCCCACACGCGGGCCCGTGACGAGGGGCCAGGGCTGGGAGGAGCATGCTGGGGGGACACACGATGGGCAGATGCCCCAAGCGCACTCTGCTGGCGTCCGGGGGTCTCTCAGCTGGAGGGGTGCAGGCGGGCGCGCACAGGGTGTAGGAGGGTGTGGGAGGCTGCACCCTGTGGGATCATCAATGGGAGTGGTCCTGGCGGGGTGCTGAGCGCGCGCCCTCCCCACCTGTGCGGGACATAGGAGCAACAGTGGGTCACCGGAGAGTGCGGATGGATGCAGTAGGGCTGGCAGGCAGGTTAGATAGATGTCTTTCCCAAAAACATCCTTTCTGAGCAGCTGGGGATGCTCTGGGGCCTGGGGCAGGGGCAAGCGTTGGGGAGGTGATGGTGGGCTGCCTGGGGCCTGGGGCAGGAGTGGGGGTGGTGATGGTGGGCAGCCTGGGGGCAGGGGCAAGCTTGGGGGAGGTGATGGTGGGCGGCCTGGAGCCTGGGGCAGGAGTGAGGGAGGTGATGGTAGGCATCCTGGGGGCAGGAGTGGGGGAGGTGATGGTGGGCAGCCTGGGGCAGGAGTGGGGGTGGTGATGGTGGGCATCCTGGGGCCTGGGGCAGGAGTGGGGGAGGTGATGGTGGGCGTCCTGGGGCAGGAGTGGGGGAGGTGATGGTGGGCAGCCTGGGGCCTGGGGCAGAGGTGGGGGAGGTGATGGTGGGCAGCCTGGGGCCTGGGGCAGGGGTGGGGGAGGTGATGGTGGGCATCCTGGGGCCCAGTGGAAGTGAGGGGGGAGGTGACAGGTGGGTGGTTCCAGGCCTGGGGGCAGGTATGCATGGAAATGACGGGCAGCCTGGGGCCATGGGGTAGACTTTTTTTTGCAGTCAGGTGTCTGGGTTAAAAGCCTTTGTAGTGGGGAGGTGCCTGTGCGCACCCTGAAGCTGGGGGCGGGGCTCTGCATGACCCCTGACCCTCCACTTGTGTCCCCACAGGAAGTGCACGACCTCCTCAGCGACTATGAGCTCAAGTACTGTTTCGTGGACAAATACAAAGGCACAGGTTGGTTGGGGCGGGGCAGGCTGGGGTTCAGGTCCTGCCCCCTCCTGGGCCCCACGTGACACCCCACGCCAGAGCCACAGGTGGCCCCAATCTGTGCCTCATCACCAGTGCCTGTCTTGAGGCCAGCTTGATGGCTTCCCTCCCAAGCCCACTGGAATGAGCAGTGCCAACTGCTCGCCAGACTCCCACTGCATGCCCAGCCTCGCCATCCGGGCCCTGCTCCCTCAGAGGGGCTAGTCGGCCTCCACCACAACCCTGACCACTGGGGGTGCCGGTGCCCACTCCCCCGTGTGCCCCCTGCACCGAATGGTCAGCTCTGTGAGAGCCAGCTCAGTTCTTGGCCTCCCCTCCCGCCAAGAGGCCCTCAGTGGACATCTCTGCCCGCCATGCCAGGCCCGTGCCGGCTGCAAGCCCTTCCAGGGCGTCCACTTGCATGCTGTGTCACGGGTGGGAAGGCCCAGATGATAGGGGCCGGTCCCCTTGCAGCCTGACCTTCCCGGCCAGGAGAGTAGCTAGCCCTGGGCATCCTCTCCAAGGCCACAGTGAGTGGAGCAGCCTCACCCTTCCTGGGGCTCCATTCTCTTCCCCTTGAGTGGACCGTGGCCTTGACAGTCACTGCACCTGCTCACGTCTGGACCATGCAAATGCCTGCAAGGCTCCGAGTGTAGTGTCCTGTGGCAGTTTTTAAGTCACTGGATACAAATGTCAATGCAGTGTATTCTTGGTGGCATAACCCAAGGCCCAAGGCGGGTTGGATGGGCCTGGGTTGTGGCACAACAGGTTAAGCAGCTTCCTGCACGCCAGCATCCCATGAGGGCGCCGGTTCGAGTCCTGGCTGTTCTGCTTCTTATCCAGTCCCTGTGGCCCACCCGGGAAAGCAGCAGAAGACTGCCCAAGGGCTTGGGGTCCCTGGTACCCCACCTGGGAGACCCGCAAGAAACCACCTGGCCCAAGACTGGATGCTGTGGCCATGTGGGGGAGTGAACCAGGAGATAGATCCCTCTCTCTGTAATGCCTTCAAAAAATAAATGAATTTTAATTTATTTGGGAAGCAGACAGACAGCTCCCACCTGCTGTTTCCCTGAGTGAGTGCAAGGACCTGGGCTGGAGGCCAGGGTCTCAGGCCAGAACTCTCTCGTGGGAGGCAAGTACCCAGACCCTCGCCTGTGGTCTCCAGGGTCTCCCTGAGGCAGGACGCATGTGCCGCTGTTGACGCCTCAGCCACCAGGCCAAGCACACAGCCCTCCCTGGGGCTGGCGATCTCTGCTTGTTGAGTCCGTGGAGGAGGGCTGTGGGCAGCCTCCGGTGCGAGCTGAGTGACCCTTGGCGTTTACACAGCCTTGCAGCACAGACCAGTTGGTGCCTGCAGTGTGTCGGGGACACAGGTGGAAACCACGTGGCTGGGCTAGACCACGGAGGGCAGGCTTCAAGGACAATGTGACATGTGAAGGAGGGTGGCCGTAGCCGAGAGGCTGCAGCAGAGATCAGCCGTTCCGGTCTGGGAAGCGGAGCCTGTCCCCCAGGGAGGGCTGGGAGAGGTCAGGCTCTGAGAAGGCGGCAGGCTAAGCCGTGGCGCCGGTCGGCAGTGACGCGTGCTGAGTGTTCCCAGGCACTGTATCCTCGGAGGAGATCGCGCTGGGTGGGGGCCTGGGAAGCCACGGGGGACAGGGCCCTGCTAACCCTGCATCCCTTCCCGACCCTGCACCCCACCCCAGCCTTCGTGACCTTGCTGAACGGGCAGCAGGCGGAGGCGGCAATCCGCACCTTCCACCAAAGCCACCTGCGGGAGCGCGAGCTGTCGGTGCAGCTGCAGCCCACGGATGCCCTGCTGTGCGTGGCCAACCTGCCCCCCAGCCTCACGCAGGCGCAGTTCGAGGAACTGGTGCGACCCTTTGGGAGCCTGGAGCGCTGCTTCCTGGTCTACAGCAAGCGCAGCGGCCACTCCAAGGGCTACGGCTTTGCCGAGTACATGAAGAAGGACTCGGCCGCCCGCGCCAAGTCGGACCTGCTGGGCAAGCCGCTGGGCTCACGCACGCTCTACGTGCACTGGACAGACGCCGGGCACCTGACGCCCGCCCTGCTGCACTCCCGCTGCCTCTGCGTTGACCACCTGCCGCCCGGCTTCAACGACGTGGACGCCCTGCGCCAGGCGCTGTCTGCCGTCCACACACCTACCTTCTGCCAGGTGAGCGGGGCTGGGGTGGGGATGGAGCGGGAGGGCATTGGGGTGCGGGCACCAGGCCCAGCCCTCCCTCAATGGGGCGTTCTCTGGGCAACTCGGAATGGGGATGGCTCCACCTTTTCCCCGCGGAGCCACGGTGTCTCTGGCTGCTCCCATCAGCCAGCCGAGACACATGCCTGAGTGGGAGGTTTGCCTTCTGACCAAGTGAGTGCTCAGCAGTTGGCTGCTGCAAGATGTGTCCCCAGGCCCAGCGGCGTGTCGGGAGGTGACCTCAGGTTGAGAGCAGTCTGGCTCAGCCACGCTTCCATCCTGAGAGGCACGTGGCAGCCCTGTGTGCGGGCGAGAGAATCCAGTGGGGTGTTGGAGCCCCCGTGGGGGAGCAGGCGTCTGTAGGACCCGCGCCTTCTGCTGGGACTGTGCCGCCTGCTGCCCAGGGCGAGGCAGCACTGCCGCCCCCATGGAGCCCCCGAGTGTCCCCAGGACTGGCTGTGCCTGATGGAGGCCTTGCTGTGGGTGGCTGTCTGCCCC